AGGTAAACATATGGCGGACCATGTTCAGTCTGATGTTGATAATAACAAAAATGACATACAGTAAGTTGGTGTAATCCCGCACCCTACTTTTTGTAATATTTATAACAAAATTACATAATTAAGAATATCCATAATCACACAAATACCTCGTTAGCAGTACGTTATATTTAATGTTACCGAAGGAACTTTGCTGAAAATACAATTTAACCAAGATATTAACATTTTATTGGTATTTTGATAAAGCAGGAAAGTGTGCCAATTCCACACCTGCTCTAGTCCGGATTTTTTCATACAACACCCAAACAATTGGCAGTCACCTGATGTTATCTCTCTCAGAAACTAAATTTCTCACATATGTTTCTGCTAGACACCTTTGGCGGCAACCACTCATCATCGCTGTCCGACATGGAAAATCGATATCACTGTAGGATTCTTAACCACTCTTCTGCTTTTCCGTGGAATCACTTCTGAGTTGAGCATACGAACAAGATGGTTTATCTTTGTGTACAACATTTGTAGTCTTATTGGGCACATGCACTTCATTTAACGAATTTCTTTGTGATCGTGTGGTTTTTGCTGCCTTTGCGAAGACATCACGAAGCCGTTGCTCCATGGTATCTTTCGGACCATGTGAGCTGGAAAGTTTCTTTTTGTCCAAATCACTTCGATGCTTACGATCTATTTTATTTTTATGCAAACTTCTCCGTGGTCTTGTGATCTTTTCTACTTTTGCTGCTCCATTCGCTCCACGCATTCCTGAGCAGTCAGACTTTATCCACAATACCTGTTGAGAAAAAGGTGTCTAATAGAGTTTCTTTTGATCGCTCTATTTCTCAGCATGAGATTCTTTTATTGATATGAAAAGTTAAGATAAAGCCGATCCTGTCGCTATTTCAGAATCTGTTGACAGAACTGCATCGGCTGACTGATTCACTTCATTGTCGTCTTGCCGTATGCCCACACTTGTGCGGCTTGCGTTGTGCGCTGTTGATGTTGCTTGAACGCTGCCCACATATTCTGCAGATTCATGCACAGAGGATGGAATTTTGGAAGAGTCAAACGGCATGATGCCACATTTGCTAAATCCGGATAAAATATTTCCTTTGCTCAATCACTTTCCCATAACTTCTTCAGAAGAATAGGAACTAGTTTTTTGGAAGAGGCTGTACCTAGGTTCTGCTTGGCAAAGTTAATATGCATTTTCTCCCACTCTGTCTTCACTAGTCCATAGACACCCACATCAGCAATGGAGTGAAATGGTTTATAAACCACTCACTAAAACAAGCACTGTCCATCCAACCTCTTTCAGAGACATTGTATCTAGCATTGTCAGGTTCATTTTGTGTCCAAGAAACTTAAATTTTTGGCCCCATAAAGCCTGGTCCCATCAGCCCGAGCACATCCTTGCACTGTGATAGAATCTCTCCCTGAGTCACAAATGACACGAAACAGTTTTTGATCCCCTTTTCACAAATCACTTTCAATCGCTTAGGGTCGAGTGGAAAGGCACTCTCATCAACGTTGTAAACTCTTCCGGGCATATTCATAATGCCACTGATTGTGAGGGTTTCATTTAGCAGCTGAAACTACTTTTCAAATGTTTGTTTATTTGCAGCCAACTGGACTTTTGATATTTTAGCTGCTTTGGAGTTCGGCATGTCAGATCCGGGTGTTTCTTTAAAAATCTGGATAACCAGTCTAGACCAGGAACATTCTTCTTACAAGGAACAGTCCTATCTTGAGCAACGGAAGTAATAAAATCGCCCACAACTAACATCGCTTCTGTGCAGGCGAATCCAAACCCCCACTGGGCGACAAGTTTTAAACAACTAGAAAATGCTTCTGCTTCTATTTTTCTGCCAGCTCCCATTTTGCTGCGTTTTTACCTGGTCTCGAATTGTTGCCTTTTTCAAGTTGTACAATTTGGCAGCTTTCTCGTACCACATGATACCTTTTCTAACTTGAGCAACGGCTTGTTCTTTGCAGCTGTGTCATATACTTCCTTTTTACATTTGTTGTTTCGAACCAGTCTGAAACTCGAAAGGAAATCATTGTTAGACCACTTGCATCCAAAAAACACAAATAAACACGCGTTAAATGCGAACCGTGATGTGTGTAATTGCCCCACAAGATTTTAATTTGGGTGCGTAATTGCCCCGACATGCTAGTAGTTTGTCGCTCACGTACGTAAAATCAGCTCATGAGACAAATGATTTAAACGTTAACAATTCTGAACACTGTAACCATATTGCTCTGTATTACTCCATTTCTGACAATATATGAGTTTTAAGACAATTATAGACTTTTACAAAGCGTGATATGTCTACTTACATGCAGATGACTGCATTGCTCATGTATTCTATATCTCTAGGCGAACACTTGTACATGGTGCTGATCGTGTGTAAACGCGAAGTTGGCAAAATGGTGTCACTATAATAGGATGGTTGCTGCCCTTACCCAAATAAAAATGTTATATAACTATAAAAGTTGTGGGATTACCCCCAGTGCAGGATTCTCCCAACTTACTGTACGTTGTAAATTTTTATCACCTTTTTAATGTGAAGGGTGAAACTGAGTTCTTGACTGCAGTATACTGGTCAGGTCAGGCTCAATTACACTGGTTTTGATACGCAAGATATCACGTAGGTGAGAATCACTTGGCCTCGTCCTCACACGGTTCTTGTTAAAATTCAGAATTGAGAATGCCTGCTCACACAAGTATGTCGAGCCAAACAAGCCGAGCATTTTCTTAGCAAATGTTTAAATCTCTTGGAATCTGCCTTTATCCATCTGACGGTAAAAATGCAGGGGAAAGAGCTGTTGGTGCCGACTGCAACATTCAACATCACTTTGCAACTCAATGAGCTCCAGTTGCAGGTGGCCTGGAGCATTGTCAGGGTCCACAGAGAAAGGTGAAGAAAAGAGCCCGATCTCCTTTTCAATTGTTGCAAAGTCCTGAAAGCGTCTTTGAAACTCACCAGCCTGGGATACAATATTTGCGACATACTTTTGCATTTGCGTATTGATGTTGCTTTCTGGAAGACTTGTCATAATTTCCTGTAGTGATTTAAAATGGTTGGTATTAAACTGAGTTTGAGGCAGTTGTCTTTGGAAAAGTCACAGTTTATTCTAATAGGCTTTTGTGTTCATTGGCTTGCCACTGCATTTTGACTCTGAAGGCCCGTGTACTATCAACCAAAACTCCAAAATCAGCCAGCCAAACAGGATCAGATAGTTCGGGCATCGTTTGTCCCTTATTTTCTATGAATTGTCTAATTTATTTTCTAAGAGAGTAGCAACGATAGAATGCAATCCCTCGACTGAGCCATCTTACATCATTGTGCCTGGGACTGCTTACTGTAGAGGAGAATACCTGAGAAATACATCAGCATTCTCCGTGTCATTTACCATCAAAGCTCGGACCCCTTCCAGGTGTAAGGTCCTGTTACAGCACTGGCGAAGTGCATCTCGTTCTCTCACCCTTTTGGGGCATCCGCGGAAAGTGGTCGGCAAATTCATTTACCTTGGAAGTTGTTCTAGTACTGGCGCTTTGACGTGTCTCCAAGGCTAGAATAGCTTTTGCCAACCTGTGGCGTGGTCACGACCTCAGCCTCAATTTGTGACCGCGAGTCTGCAAGGGTGCGACACGAGCGATTTTGATGTACGGCTGTGAGACTTGGCCTGTTCGCAGGAGTGATGTTCAGCGGCTCTGTCTTGGACCACCGCTGCCTACGCAGCATTGCTGGTGTTCAATAGCAGTGTCGCATCAGTACTGAGGAGGTTCATCCACGAGCCTTCAAATTTGACACACTGCGTTGACCGATTGACAGTGTCATTTTACTGCGGAGGCTTCACCGGCTTTGGCACGTACTTCGCATGCCTATCCAGCGGCTAGCACGACGTGACCTATTTGCTGGCGCAGCCTTGGGCTGAAAGCGACGAAAAGGAGGCCAGTGTAAAACTTGGATCCAATGTGTCAAGGCGCAAACGCAGAAGCTAGCTGTTGCTGAGCGTTCCAGACTCCCGTGGGGACCAAAGGATCTCGATTCATCTGGTTACAAACGCTACTGGATGTAGCCAAGGGCCTTACTCAGTGGCTCACTTGCTGTGGGCATTCCTCTAACTGTTCTTTTCCATAATGTGTTGTGACATTCAGCCAGTTGTATTGTACTTGACAGTGTTGAACTTATATAAACATCTGTATATAAATCTCTCAGAATGGCACGTGATTGATATGCTGGTAACAAGAGATCTCAGCAGCCACTCAGATCATAGGCAATTCCGACGACTTGGGACAATGCGTTTTATATTGTGCCTCATTTTCTATGTCGTACTGGACATACTATTGATTTACTATACAAAAATTGACAATGCTATCTTCGAGTTAGTTGACTTCACTTACCGTAGAACGGTTTGCAGATAAGCTCTGTTGTTGCGCGCATGTCTGACCGGCTGTTTGCCTGTGCACAAGGTCAGAGTTGTCTGTCTCATCACATGCAACCAACTGGTGTCTGAACACATCTAGCTTTAGCGCAACGGTTTCGCTTTTGTGGGTATCTTATCTCTCATCTTTCGCGCCACTTTCTTTTCATGAAGTCTCATGTTGGTAGTACCTTTGTCCTCGTAGATTCGCATCGCCTACACCTATGAGACGAGAGAGCAGTTTAAGCAGTACAACCCTACGTTGGTTTGAAGTTAGTGAATCTTATCGAACAGACTGTTTATTATTTGTTAGTGTTTCTAACTTAACGTCGTATTCTTGTTCTATCTCAATGACATACAACTAAATGTCATAAGTAGTTATTTCCATGCTCTTTGCTCCCAACTGAAGCCAGTCGGTGCGCAACTACTTAATGTGTCACGCTGTATGGAGCGGCGCTCGTTTATTTCTCCATAAATCTCTATTTGCTGATTTTCAAAACTTATGCTTTAACCCTCTTGTAACCTTTTTAATGCATTGCTCCATGTATCAACACGCGGTTCGTCATTTTCCTTTTCAGTTTTGTTAGCTTCTAACCCCTTACGGTCAAATGACGGTTCATGGGCGCCAGCGTGCTCCTACGACCGAGGTTCTCGGACTCCAGTTGGAATTTGTGATTCTCCAACTTCTGATATTCCTATCCATCTATTTTGAATTCTAATTGCCCCTCACACCACTTGCGTCTCAGCAGATGGTGTCAGCTTATGTACAAATTTCAAATGTGAGCTCGAGCCCGGTGTTTTCCTCACATTGTTCGATGTATAGGATACCAATTTTTCTCCCTGTGTGCCGACTGTCTATTTGTTCTCTTTCCCTGATTGTATGCTCCTTGTTGCGTGTTGCGCACATTGTATCAGGGACGTCGGTACAAAGTAAATGGTTACGCATCAATATCTTAATCACGACTTGTCTGTGATATTACTTTACACATAATCCCTCTCACATTAACAGCTCCTTGCCTTGCGTCGGAGCAGCGTTTCTCAGCGATTTGAGTGAAGGTTCTTGTGTCTACGGAACTGTCATTATCTCCTTTTCGATGTGAACTGCACTGTGTTAGCAATGCAATTTTTTCTCTGCATGGCATGGTGTACGCTGTTGTCTGCTGCAACAGCGACAAACATTATGTGCATCTAGTAAAGTGTTAAGAATTTCGCCAGGATGTTCTGTGGCCGCGTGGCGGGTGTTTTATTGCACGACACTGCGAGTCCTCTGGATTATCTATCTGGTCTATGAACAAAACATAGGTGGAACTTCGCTGTCCATTTGCGATGGGAGCGACTTTCCAGAGCACGACGGGCGCCACCTAGCTGATATAAAGATGACCGTTGGGTTGCCCGTCGCAAAATTCATTCATTTGGACCTTCTCTCACGCTACTGTTTACTGTGACGATGAGACGGCTATCCGCTGCTTGTCTCCCTTCCCCTGGTTATCCGGCCACCATTTTTCCGTCTGATGCGCTTATATCCCCTCACTACTTTTTCTTGTTGAGTAGTGTGCCGAACTTTTAGTTTGCGTCCGTCATTTGACTCGTGCACATGGCGCTTCGTGAATGTTATCGTCGTATTTTACAGAGCGGAAACTGGCGTCTGGGTAAGTGAGGATGTGTGTCTTCGTCAATATGGAACAAGTTGTTCTGTAATTCACCAGCTGCACCAACCAATGGTTCCCTGCCAGAACCCACGTTGAGCATTGCCCCCAAACTTGTCCGACGCGTCCACTCTTATTTAGGTCGCTGCTGACTCGAGGTGCGCCTTGTAAATTTTTCCTCCGTCTTGGAGCCACTTGTTGGATCAGTCTGTTTAGCACCGTACTGCTTCAGGTGATTGTCTCGACTGCGTGTTTTCTAGCTCTTAGTCAAACGCCTTTCTTGGTTTCCAGCAGAACACAGCCGCCTGAGTAAAACAGGTGTCATCGATTTACACGAACTGCTCACTTTTGAATCAGCTCTATCCGCAGTGACTGTTCCTATGTGTACAGAATTCGATCTGTCCCGTTCCAGGCCTATTAACTGCCACTGTGTTGGTTATGCAGTGTGGTGGAAATTAATGGATTTTTTTAGTGATAATGGCAATAACCATTACCATAATCGGTGTGTTTCTGGAGTTAGAGGAAATGTTATTGTAAGGATGAACGGATTTGAACAGCTTCTCACGTATTCGTTTTTAACATGGAATCGAGGGATAAGTAATACCATTTGTTTTTGGATCTTCCTGTGGCCTGTATGAGGTGCCATTTTAAGACTAACCGGTGCGTCAATCTTTGTGGTGTTACTCCCGTTACTTGCAAACTCCTACGGCGACTCATTGGGCAGTGAAAATCAGACTGGCTTTCACCCAGGCCTGGAGTACATTAATCCCATATTTGCAATGTGAACCGCTGGAGAAGTGGCACGCATCCAGCGTGCCCGCTCCGGTGGTTTTTCTTGATTTAGAACTTCCATCGACTGAGTTGATTTTGTCATCTTATGGTACTGCCTATTGCTTCATTTTATTCAGTGCTCACTCTTTTGCGGCTCCCTTTTTGCCAAGGACATATTGTTGCACATCAGCTTTCTTCCTGAACTGTGTGATCGAATCGATCAGGTCTGACTATCCCCATGGTTTCTTTCGTTATAGAAGTTGGGTGATCAGCTTGCGGTCCTAGAAGACAGAAGTGATGTATCTCTCCTTAGGTTAGACTGTTTCATACCACTGCCACTGGTTAAATTGACATATGATACTGCACGCTTCGGCGTATTCTTCACAACTTTAGAGTGCATATTCTTGTTGCAAGACTGGGCCGACACGCTTATAAATAAATAAATGAATTGTCTGTTCCTCGACTGTGCGAAACACGGCCCAGTTTGTTGGTCCGATCTATTCGTACAAAGGGATCGCAGATGTGTGGATTATTCATGTATATGGAAAAAGTACATGTGACCTTATTTTGGTGAAGCACGCATCATGCAACATAGTCCGGCAGACTCTTAAAAAGCACTGGATCAACCACATGTTGGTTGATAGATCTCGGAGATATTGCAATTTAGCACTTTTGTGCCATTCATATTTTGATATGTACTCGGATAGAGCTAGTGATGGTTGTTTCATTATGCAGGATAACCGATACACCAGCGTCGTTTGTATGGAATCAACACGACAAGCAGCCTGGCGTATAAGAAAATTTATTCGAAATTGTTGAGCGAGTCTCGAGGAATGGAACATGCCAGGAAGACTAGAAAGCTGGACAAGTTAAATGTTTTTCAAGCAGTGAACACTGATGTGGTGATGTCAGTTTTAATAAATTTAAAATGTGGGGAAGATATGATACAAGTTATACTGGTGTATTCTAACCATTGTCTAACAGTCACTGGAAGCGCTCGATCGATTCGTTTATCTAAGTCACTTGAGCTTTTAACTCACTGACCATGTGTGGACATGTCGGGATATCACTTTGATAGTTGAAGGCACAGCCTGCAACGCCGCCGTAAAATCGTGTTACAGTGTCTATCAGAAACACGACTACCTCAAACTGAGGACATTAAGCGCATCGAGTAAGCCCCTAATTTCCAGGGATACCCGGGAAGACCTATCCAGAGGCACAATTAACTTCAACAAAGAACCTCTCATTTTTAAATTACATTAATATTTATTTATCCTTCTGTTGAAGGAAACTCGTTCGACAAACGCCGACTGAGGTCAGATTTTATCGGTTGATCGGATTTGTGATCGGTTCATTTGGTTTCTCAGTCCCTCATGTTATTTACTGGTTCAATAAAAAAACAAAGAAACGGCATATTTCTCGACTTTGCGAGCAGCATATCCCAAGCAGGGTCAGATCCAATGTAATACGAATGTCTTACGCTCTCGAATTATGTTAAACAAATATGTCCAAGTGCGGTGATGAAGAGGAGTATCAAGATAGTGAAAATATATATGCATTCTTGAATTTCCTTCGTGATATTATAACCTGTTTTCTTTCTTTAGCACACCAAATGGCAGTGTATTGTGTGAGCTGTTTATTATGGGCTATGAGCTCTTTAGATTGAATGTAGTATCCATAAGGTGGGATTCTGCATTTGTCTGAAGCCATTTCTATTTCCCACATATGACACCAGTGACGAAAGGTCATTCTGAATGCTTTGAAGTGCCTGGTAAGATTCATTCCTGCTGAGGTTGTAGACGCTTTTTATCTCATCAGCATATAAAAATGCAGTTCCATGTTTGATTTGTTCAAAAATGTCATTACTATAGTTAAGGAAGATAGGACACAGTGCGCTACCCTGCACTACCCCACTGGTGACTGCCGGGGGTTTTGAGGTTATTAACGATCTTTACCATTTGTTTTTGATTAGATAAGTATGATTTTAGCCACGCTAACAAAGGCTTTCTGATTCCAACAGATCGGACTTTGGTCAATGGTTTTGCATGCGGCACCCGGTCAAAAGCTTTACTTAAATCCAGTGAAACTAGAACTATTGCTTTCCTAGGGTCAATTGCTTTGTCACATTGTTCAGGAAATCTATTTGACAGGTCACACATGATCATGACTTTATAAAGTTGCTGCGATCTACTAATTGGGTTTCCCGACATGAGGTGCATATCGATTCATTCACCATCCTCTCCATTGTCATAATGGCAAAAGGTGTGTGATTTATATGGCGGTAGTTTTCAATTTTGTATGAAGCCCAACCTTTGTTTCGCGGCCTTATCATCGCGGTCTTCTACTGTTTAAGATAATGCCCCGATTTAAGGTAAAGTATGAACATTTTGAGCAACAGAATGGGGATGTCTGGGCCTCCAAATTTAACGTGCACCGTCGGAAACCCATCGGGACCCAGAAAACATGAGGACTTTAGACGTATGATCAGAGTGGGAATCGTTCTCGTATTATAGTCTACTTCGTGGAGACGAGCACTCGTGTATGGCACAAAGCACAACTGCTCGCTTGATGTTTCCGTAGCTAATGATTTCGCGGAGTATGAACTGAATGCTTAGAATACATTGTCTGGGTTATCAACGTTACTACAACTCGGGGGTTCATGCGCGAAAATGTTTGATAAGGCTATCGAGTTTATTTCAGATTAACAAAGGACTGCGTCCCTCAAGTCAAGCTTGACACGCATTCTTGAGTCTGCTCTTTTCTATGACAGCCGATTGCTACGTCAACAAAGAGATTTGGTGTAATTTACCAAGCGTCTTCTGGGCGATCCTATTGCGTCCCTGGTTGTTGTATCCCTTCATCTGTAATGAAGCAACTATCTCGATGCATTGGCACAAGTTATTAAAGAAGTAGTTTGTTGCTTCCTGTGGACATGAGGACATAAAGAATCCGTTCCAGTTCATAGAGCGTAGTAAGACAGAAAAGGCATCCCAGTTAACCAAACTGAATGAATGAAAACGTTTAGCTTCTTGTGAACGTTTCCAGCTCAATTGAAAACGACGGTTGATCATTCGGTGATCACTTCCCGGAAAATATTCATGTACGCTTATTTCAATTGAGGGAATCCCCAGCGTAAGTTAAATGTTGCTTTTTTTCTTCTAATCTGAGACAACTTGTTGTTGCCAGCCACCAGCAAGAGAGAAACTCCCGATATCCGTCTTGTGCAGTGCCATCTACCTACTTTGTTTACGGTATGTTGAAATCCATCCCCTGCGACAAGTTTGGGCCCAAATGGTAACTCGTCGATACTCTCAAATCTGGTCAATGAGGATGATATATGTTTTGTTTAAGGTTTGGCGAGTTGTAACTGCAACCTAGGAGAGGCCGCTGGTGATAAATAGGGATCGTGAGCAAAACGAACTCCTTCATATGATTTAACAATGCGGCATGGAAGGCTGTTACTATGAACAGTAACCGAAAAGTGACAACTCATCTGGAGTATCATCACTGCGCCACTGTTCAATGCTGAATATAATGTCAAGATTAAGAGTCAACATGTTGAAGCGAAACATAGTCCTTTTGGATGAACGTGAGCGAACTTTAATCAGATTAATAAATATTGCGCTTGGGCTGGAGGTTTGTGTTTGCACTAGACGATTCGCTGGTACAGTAAGCGCTGTTGACTCCATGCTAAGAACTCTGAACAGCAAT